AACAACGAAACACACAGCGTCTTCACAACATGGCGGCGGCGGTGGCAACAATAAAGTTACGCCGCCTTTCTTTGAGTGAACATTTGGGCGGTGTTATGCAAATCTTCCCACACAGTGACGTAGACATGTGGGGGCGTGTTTAAACGAGGCATTTTAGGAGGGCGTGGACGAGTCTTAACTTTTATAAAGAATATCTCTTTTGAGATATTTTGAGTCTTTAGTCTTTGCAACTTTAAGGATCTTATTTATTCACGAACAGCTTGTAACATTTCAAAGAGAAAGGAAAACTTGAAATCGCATCATATGACCCCTTTAAGAAAAGCTTCTAAAATGAACACCTCGCTAACTAGCTTAGCTGCTAGCTGCCTGCATAACACATTTAAACTAGTTGTGATGTGCAGATAACTCAATATGTATTTGAATCCCCTGTTCCGCTTGCGTGTTAAAGCGGGGGACCATGGCATCAACGATACGATGGGCATCGCTGATGCTTGCTAGTTTAGGCAGATCTCGAAGACATCTAGTAAATACTGACATTTTGGGTGACGCGAAAGTAAACCGGAAACTGATATCACGACTTCTGGCGACAGCAGAAGTTCGTTGCTACGCTTGTGCACAGAGTCCAGTCTCAATCCCTTAGAATGACAAATAAATACATAGTATCAGTTGATATGTACTGTACTGCCAATATAGTTTATATAATTATTTTACAAACGCTTATAGATCATTAAAATATATATTTTTAAATGCTTATGGATCATTAACATTAGTTAATGCGTTCTAACAATGAACAATATATTTTTACAGCATTTATTAATATTTGTTCATTTTAGTTAATACAAATTTTCATGTTCATCTCATAGGATAAGAAATCTTTTAAGCCTGAACCTGTACTACAGCTAACAATGAACAATATATTTTTACAGCATTTATTAATATTTGTTAATTTTAGTTAATACAAATTTTCATGTTCATCTCATAGGATAAGAAATCTTTTAAGCCTGAACCTGTACTACACAGTTTCCATTAGTTAGAATGACAAACAAACACATAGAATAAGTCAATATGTACTGTACTGGTGATATAATTTTATATAATTATTTCACAAATGCTTATATATCAATAAGATCATTTTAAAAATGCTTATAGGTCATTAAAAGTTTTGGTAATGCTTTCCAATAAGGTCTCATTTGTTAACATTAGTTAATACATTAACTAACATGAACTAAGAATGAACAGTATATTTTTACCGCATTTATTAATCTTTTTTAATGTTAGTTAATAAAAAGGTTCATGTTCATGTTCACAGTACATTAATTAATGTTAGCAGATACAACTTTACATTTTAATTAATAATGTGTTAGTAAGTTTTGAACTTAATATGAACTCAAATTAATAACATTTTAAATATAATTATTGTTCATGTTAACTAATATAGTTAATGTTAACAAATGAAGCCTCATTGTAAAATGTTACCAAAGTTTTATATATTGTTCTCTCTTCTGTGTGTGTGTGTGTGTGTGTGTGTGTGTTTCACTCTCTTGATGTAATAGTGTAACCCTTTCATTGCTGTAACCTATAAAACCAGACAGCCAGAGGGTTACTCTAAATGCATGTGCCCTACTATGAACTGTTTTCCTGATGCCACCGGGATGGTGGTTGCACTGGTGGCTTGGGCGGTCATCGCTGCTTGCAGCTATATTTTGGTTTTGAATCCATAATATGATAGACCAAAATATATTATCTCCTATTACTTTGTTTCAATTTAGCTGTATACCCTAACTGATGTTATAATTACTAAACAATATTGAACATAATTTATGTAAAAAAAAAAAAAGATTTGTGGCAATACATTCACAAACTACATATAAAGGAGTAGATTACCCAAAAATGAAAATTTGCTGAAAATGTACTCACCCTCAGGCCATCCAAGATGTAGATGAGTTTGTTTCTTCATCAGAACAGATTTGGAGAAATGTAGCATTGCATCACTTGCTCACCAATGGATGCTCTGCAGTGAATGGGTGCCGTCAAAATGAGAGTCCAAACTGCTGATAAAAACATCACAATAATCCACAAGTAATCCACACCACTCCAGTCCATCAATTAAAGCATTGTGAAATGAAAAGCTGCATGTTTGCAAGAAACAAATCCATCATTAAGGTGTGTTTTTACTTTAAACCGCTGCTTCTGGCCAAAATATTATTCATCATAAATAATAATGATTCTTCCAATGAAAAAAGTCAATCTCCTGTTGTCCTCTCAGATCAAAATCCTCTGACATATTTATTAAAAACTGTTTTCCCTTGTAAACACTGATCGATTTGTGCATATTTCTCTCCTCCATGAGACAACTTTTTCAAGGGAGAAAGTAATATTAGATATTTTAGCATTATTTTATTTTAGTAATGGTTTGAGGTTAAAAACATCTTGATGGATTTGTTTCTTACAAACATTCAGCTTTTCACGTCACAAGACATTAAATGATGGACTGTGGATTACTTGTGGATTATTGTGATATTGATGCATTGGTGAGCAAGTGATCCAAATCGGTTTGGAAGAAACAAACTCATCTACATCTTAAATGGCCTGATTTTAAGTGAACTATTCTTTTAATGATGATTCCTGGCACATCCTCATAAAAACTTTGAAAATCATATTTCAAACAGCTTTTGAAAACCAAAAAGTTTTGCTGAATTTATAAGGTAAACCCTCTTTTGAAATTGTGAAAATGCACAGAAGGTACAGTTTCATCTGTCAACTCAGGCTCACCCCAACCAACCGACAGAGAGATAGAGAGAGAGAAAGAAAGAGAGAGAGGAGGGCAATAAACCCTGCAAACCAGATCCACCTCAAGAAAGCATTTTATCCCTCACTCTGCTCTTGCTCTCTCTCACACTTAAATTAATTTTCTCTCTCTTTTTCTGCCTGAGATGTCGTCTCTTCTGAGGGAGGAGATGGACAGAGTCTTGTTCAGACCGGAGGAACAGAAGCTGGAGGAGTTTATAGAAATAGAGGAGCAACAGCAGGGACGACATTTTCTCTGCGTTTCTAGTAAGAAAAATCGACTTCTATCTATTTTATGCATGTTTATTGGAGGTGATGTGCTGAGTTATCTTCCATTAGAAAAAAAAAATGTGGGATCATCTGGGGACATGGTCAGATATTATTTCTGAAGAAGGAAGAATTCAAAAAAAAAAAAAAAAGTCCTAAATATGCTTTGTATGGTTTGATGAAGAGGTGTAATAAAAATACAAAACCAATGTGTGTTTAGTATCTAAGGATAAAGAAGCTCAAATCTCAGTGGTCCTGTGTCGGAGAGTTAAACATTCACGGACCAATAAGCTGCAGAAATCTGGGCTGGAGGACAGTTATGAAAAAACAGAGATTTGGGCCCTGGAAGATCTGCTGATTCTGGACGGTAGAGATCCAGATACTGTGAGTCGAGCTTGGCATTCATCCTCATCCCATTTATGATTACACATGCTACTTAAATGCTTGAAAACATATTTTAAGGCTAAATCTGACGTAGACTTCATATTAATAGTGCTGATGAGTTGCATTGCCTTAGGAAGTGGAATCTCTTACTTTTCATTGGAAGATGTTCAGTTTGCATATCTCTGCTGTGTTAGGATGATCCCTGTTTCTTGATGCATTTCGACACGGTGCGGTCGGTCAGAGCAGTGAGCTGTGCTGCAAAATACACTCTGGCCCGCTGTCTGCTGTCCCTGAGCAGGAAGTATCACCACACGGCACTGAAACTTAAGAACTTTGACTGGCCGTACATTCAGCCCACTGCAGTGTATTCAGATCGTGGTGACTGTGTTGTCCTTGCGCAGATCTGTTTCTATGCCTTTAATCTGGTGTGTCTTTCCTTGTGTCCTGTGCCTCTGGCATAGAGACATTTTGATTAATCTTCTTATTTAATGAGATTTCTTTTAAACTGGCCCTAAAAACCTAAACCCTTGATGCTGACAATAAAAAGTTCATTTCAGTGTTATCTGCAATGCCCTTAGGGAGTGTACTTAAGTCATGCTTTGAGCACTCAGACAGACCTACAGTAGCTGTAACATAACGCCACATTGTGGGTGAAATCCAATTTGTGCTTGTGCAAACGCAACACAAAAGAGTGTTTCTGATGAGTAATGCTGTGACTTTATAAGTGTAATAAATGCTACATGTGACAGGTTTTGCATGTTTTAGCTGATTCGTTAAGCAAGCTATGTATTTAATCATTTCAAAAAGTGAAACTGTGAGACAAACTTGTGGATATTACAGAATACACCGTTTCAATAATCTTGCCATCTGGTGAAACATGAATTGTTTTCTCATTCCTGCAGTGTGCTTTACATGTTGTTGAATAAAAACTGTGCCATTGCAAAACGTCCATCAACTATTCCAAACAAATTAAATGTATGGAACATTTTCAAAACAGTTGTAACTGTGTGCAAGACAGCTTTAATTCTTTGCATGCATAATATTCTTGGTATTTATCTGTAAATGTACAGCTACTTACCAAATAAATATATAAATGATAATAAAATATTTGAATTGGGATTTAAAAAATGGGTTTTTATTTCGTGAAAAGACAGACCTCGTGATTACAGAACAAGTTCAACTATATATCAAATATAGTTTAATGGTCGTTACACAAGAATAGAATGCCCAGAGTCAATTATTCCATAGAGTCGTGTAATAAAAATATGCTAATGTTATGTAACAGGTTAAATGCGCACTAATGACACTTGAGCCAAAGCCCCCTGCTGACGTCACACACGCTTTAATATTTTGGGGGTGGCTAAAAAATAGCCTGAATCAACAGAATACATTTTTTTCACTTCTAATAATAGTGCTCTGTTTGTAATGACCGTGAATTCTTGCAAAATAAACTAACATTTTGTCTAAATACATGCAGGATGCGAGTGAATTTCTTTGTTTGTAATTTAACTCGTAACTTATATCCGGTCATAACGGCGTAGCGGATGCGCTCCTGGCGCCAAATTTCAAGTTTGGATGGTTGAACTGAAAGCAACGCCGAAGTTCTTTGAGGTTGTCGCATATAATATAGCAGTGTATAGCGTTTTTATTGTATTTTCCTCATACGGTGGTTGATCGATATGTACATAAAGTCTATTGTACTAGAGGGCTTCAAGTCCTACGCCGAAAGGACGGAGATTAACGGATTTGATCCGTTTTTTAACGCCATCACTGGACTGAACGGCAGTGGAAAGTCGAATATACTGGACTCCATCTGCTTTCTGCTCGGGATTTCTAACCTATCACAGGTCAGTTTTAATACATTAAATATCATCTACACGTAGCCATATAAATAAATCTGGCAGCTTTGTGATGGCAGTTTTTAATAGCTGTGGTTTATGCATTTATTTATTTGTTTGTTTGTTTAATTGTTTTTGCTTAATTAAAAAAAACAAAAACAAGTATGAATCACTTTTATGACAACGACAACATACAAAATGCAAAAAACAACCTTAAGTAAAACAGAATAGGATACAGAGGTATCCTATTATAAAGGTTAAGTAGGTTAAGAGTTTAACAGCTAAAATGTAATACTGCTTGTTTTGGCTTGTCAAATCTTGTAGGTTCGTGCCACTAATCTCCAAGATCTGGTGTACAAAAATGGCCTGGCTGGGATCACCAAAGCAACTGTGTCCATCACTTTTGACAACTCCAACAAGAAACAGAGTCCACTTGGGTTTGAGACGCATGATGAGATTACTATTACACGACAGGTATTTGGCTTGAGATCATTGCTCCACACTCTCCCTGATAACACTCATTATTGTGACATTATTGTTTGTGTTGTGCAGGTGGTCATAGGTGGACGAAACAAGTACCTCATCAACGGTGTGAACGCAAACAATCTGCGAGTCCAGGATCTATTTTGTTCAGTTGGCTTGAATGTCAACAACCCTCACTTTCTGATCATGCAGGTAACCACCATAATACAGTGTTTTAAAGGCGTTATATGATGTTGCTAAAAAGAACATTATTTGGTGTAATGAAATTGTGTCTACTTACATTACTAACATTAATATAAATGATGAATAAATATTGTAACAAATGTATTCCAGCACCTTTTTGTAAAGTGTTACTGCATAGATGATGAGAAATGGCTTTTGGACAAAGTGTGCAGTGTGTTCATGTTTGTTTTCTTCAAAAGACCCAAAAGCTCCACCTGTAGAAAAGTGTTTCCAGGTGCTCATGGATCTCATGGACATGAATCTCTCTGTTTTAAATGTCAAAGATCCTTCTGCTCTTGATCAATCCATCAGAACAACACTGAACAGTAAGAGTGTGTTAGAATTTATATATATAAATATATATATATTTTTTTTTATTTTAGAGTCTAGAGTATTTTAGAGTCTAGAGAGATTTATTTATTTATATATATATATATATATATATAAAAAAATTTTTTTACATCATTTAAGTGAAATGGCCACTTTAAGCTTAAACTCGGAAGTCTTTTGTCAGCGCTGCATGAGAATCAACAAATGGTTAGTAATAGTTTAATAGTTTTCCTCCCATTGTGGTGGAGAAAAAACTGTCTCTAATTTATTAGAAATGATTTGTGGTCCTGTTGGGACACATTTAAGGTCCGTAATTGGACCGCAGTCTGCTAAATGGTGTGGTGTGACCTCTGATTTAAATAGGTAGGGTTTCTTTTACCTGGCCAGGTTTTTTAATCGTGTACTTATCCTGTGGAGACTGAAGGTCTGTAATAGACGGTGGGATGGTGGGTAATGGACTGGCAAAAGTATTAAAATCTTTGTACGGGAAAAGATATTTGAATTTTTAATGATGCAAATTGATACCTGTTAGAAAAGTGTGTGGTTGATTGATTGAATATTTCTGTCTCCTGTTGTATTCCATTAGCATGTCTCATTTTTGGGTCTGTCTCTCTAGGAGGTTGGGGGGGTGTTGAAGACTCTGGAAGAGACCTTGTCTGAAGCACAGAGAGTGGACACAAAGGCCCAAAGCGCTCTGGACATGAAGAAGCAAAATCTGAAAGATGAGACCAAGAAGAGAGAGGAGCTGGTCAAAAACATGGAGGAGGTATAACAGGATTCAGGAGTTTTGGTTCCATCTATTTGTCTAAAAATTAGTTTATAAATATCTATGTGCTATGGATATTTTTAAAAGCTCCCCAAAACTTTGAGTAAATAAAAAAAGGTACAAATATATTTAATACTCAAATGAAATAAACTGAAATAGAAATAATAACATCAATTAAAGAGAAACATTCCTATTGGAAACTATATTTCATACCTCAAAATATTGCGGTTTTACATAAATGTAAATGATTTAAACTGTCTTTGAACTAGGATAAGATGATGATGTCAGCTAAGGAAGTGGAGGTAGTCAAGGCTATGGAGCAGCTGAAAGCTGTGCAGGAGGAAGGGCAGAAGGATGCAGAAGCACTGGAGGCGGCTCAGCAGCATTTTAAGGCAGTGTCAGCTGGTCTCTCTGCCAATGAAGATGGAGCTGAAGCCACACTTAGTGGCCAGATGATGACCTGCAAGAATGACATGAGTAAAGCTGAGACGGAGGCCAAACAGGTGACCTTTTTGACCTTTAACGTCCATCCAATAATCACAGTGATGTGGGAATGTTTGCCCACTGTACTTTAAAAATTAAACTTGAAAAAATCTGTTCACTGTCCATACCGTGTTATTACTTGGATCAGTAATGGCTCATAACTCTACTCAGCAACTTTATGATTATTATGAGTTAGAAATACACTACTGCTCAAAAATGTGGGAAAGGTTTTGGAAGGGTCTTTTAATGCTCTTCAAGGCTTCATTTATTTGTTTAAAAACAGCATTAAAGTAAAAGTAGTACAGTAAAAATTGCAATGTTGTGAAAAATTGTTACAGTTAATAATAACTCTTCTATTTTAATATATTTTAAAATGTAATTTATTTATGTGACGTCAAAGCTGAATTTCCAGCATCATTACTCCAGTCTTGTGTCTAATGACCCTTCAGAAATCATTCTAATATACTGATTTGCTGCTCAAGAAACATTTCTGATTATTATCAGTGCTAAAACAGCTGTGCTGTTTAATATTTTTGTAGAACCGGTGATCCTTTTTTTTATGATTCTTTGATTAGAAGGTTAAAAAAAACAGTATTTCTTTGACACAGAAGTCCCTTGTAACTTTATAAATGTCTTTACTGTCACTTTGAAGTAGTTCAATGCATCCTTTCTAAAAGTACTGGTATTAAAAAAAAAAAGCTACTGACCTCAACCCTTTGAACAGTGATATGTTATACTGTATTATATTTTATTATATATAGTTTTTTGAAGATTGATTGTAAGTGACTCTGTTCTGTCCCTTAGGCTCAAATGAAACTGAAACACGCTCAGCAGGAGCTGAAGACTAAGCAGGCTCAGGTCAAGAAGATGGACAGTGGCTACAAAAAAGACCAGGACACATTTGAGGCTGTGAAAAAAGGCATAGAAAAGCTACAGGCTGAAATGAAGAAACTCAACTATGAAGGTACTGAATACTTTTTGAATGTGATTGTAGTGTTATTAGGTGCAGTTAACTGAAGCCTTACCAAAAATGTGAATTTTAAAACTTAAGGCAGAACTAAATCATATTAGTCTTTGTCTATGACATTAGTTAAAAACATTTTTAGAGGAGATTGACTTGTGTGTTCAGATGGACGAGAGGAGGGTCTGTTGGAGCAGAAGAGGCAGTGTTCACGGGACGTCAGTCAGCTCAGAGAAACCTACGAGTCCCTCATGAGCCAATTTCCCAACCTGCGCTTCGAATACACGTGAGAACATGCGAGCCATTTTCATCTAGACTCATTGCTTATGTGTGGTTTATACACCTCATTTATTGAATCCATTGGTACTGTGTGTATGTAGGGACCCAGAGAAGAACTGGGACGGCAGTAAGGTGAAGGGTTTGGTGGCAAATCTTTTCTCAGTGACTGATGTGTCAAACGCTACAGCTCTGGAGGTGGTTGCTGGTGGTCGACTCTATAACGTAGTGGTCGACAACGAGGTGAGGCTTTTTTTTTTTTATTGTTAATTGTTCTATTTACATGTTGTTTTTAAGCAGTGATGCATTCAATTGATCATAAGACATTTTTATTGTTACAAAGCATTTCTGTTTCATATAAAGTTGTTCTTTTGAACTTTGTTAATTAAAGAATCCTGGAAAAATGTATCATCGTTTCCACAAAAATATTAAGCAGCACAGCTGTTTTCATCTTTTATAATGGCTGCTGAAAATCCAGCTTTGCCATCACTGGAAAGAAATACATTTTAAATAGAAAATAGATTAGAAAATGGTTATTTTAAAGTGTAATATTTCACTAAATTACTGGTTTTATTATATTTTTGATCAAATAAATCTAACCTTAGTCAGCATAAGAGACTTTTTTCAAAGACACTAGTTTGTCATGATCTGGCAAAATTCTGTTTTGTTTTTAAACTTGTCTAATTGCAGGTTACTGGAAAAAAGCTTCTGGAAAAGGGTGAACTTAAACGCAGATACACTATCATTCCTCTGAACAAAATCTCAGCACGTACCCTCAATAACAATGTAGTGCGCACTGCCAAAAACTTGGTGAGAACTCTGCTAATGAGCTGTTGTTGTTGATTTGATTATGATTTGTTTGAAATATTCTCAGTGGGATTTTGTTGAATGAAAGGAAACCCATTTGTTTTTTGTTGCAGGTCGGGCCAGATAACGTGCACACAGCTCTGTCATTGGTAGGTTATGAATCTGAGCTAAGGAAGGCCATGGAGTATGTTTTTGGAACTACGCTGGTCTGTGACACTTTGGACAATGCTAAAAAAGTTGCCTTTGACAAAGGTGTGAGCACCAAAACTGTTACGCTTGGAGGAGACGTGTTTGATCCTCAGGGAACCTTGACTGGAGGTTTGTATATGTGTGTCTATAACTGCGCAAGATGCAGAGCATCACAAAAGTAATCAAACCTGCTGTCAATTTTGTTTACTAAATTACAACTCTGAATATTTGTTCAGGAATGTAATTTCACCAAAATTCCAAATTGCATCAATCTGACTTTTTTCATCTTGTTTTTTTTTTTCAGTGCTTTTTAAATTCTGACTGCTATATAACAAATGTTTTAATGAGAATGTTGGACAAATTGTGAGAAGAAAAATGTGCTAATTGTCTGAAAATACCTATAGAATATATGTAATATCCTTTCTCCTAAATTCTCTGAAGTTTTTTTTTTCAGCTTTTATTTTAGTATTATTGGTATACTGTTAGTGTTTTTGAATTAGCTTTTATTTTTGTATTTTCATTTTATTTTCATTTAATATGTTTTTCTAATTTTGTGCTTTTGTCACTTTTAGTATTTTTTAAATTCTATTTAACTATCATTTTTATTTTAGTCATTTTAATACTTAAGCTTGTCTGGTTCAGCTGGCCAATCAGAGCAGACTGCGCTTGTCGGAAGGAGGGACTTTGTAGAAAACGAAGCGTTTGAGAGAGGCGGGGCATATAGGACCTACAATAATGTACAGTATTTGAAAAATAATGTGTTTTTTGAACATTAAAGCATGTCAACATATTCTGTTACACCAAATACACAAAAATAATGATCTTTAAAAAAGCATCATATGACCCCTTTAATAGTTTTAGCTGACATTAGCCACACTGATTAAAGCCTGTATTTAATGGGTTTTATGAGATACACCCATGAGAATTATAGCCTGAACATGCAAACAGCATATCCAGAATTTAAGTATTTAATCTGTATTTTGCAGAGCAGTCAAAGATTTGTTTTAGAGCTCAGATTCTAGCAATTTGTGCAGATTTTCATGTTATATATATGAATATGTTTGCTAATATTACAATTTATGCATACCCTGGGAATCGACCCATTTGGTGTTTAAGCTACAGAAACGCTCAAATACATCTTTGCTGTACTATGTGCATATTACCATTATACTGACCCCTGATCTCTAGTTCTCACTATCGGCATTAGCCACTGAAAAACCCATATTGGTGCACCACTATTTACAATTTATTCACTATTTACAGATGATTTTGTGGTCTGAATACGTTTACAAGGCATAGTAGAACATTGTGTTCTCTAATAACGGTTACCTGTGTGTGTGTGTGTGTGTAGGTGCACGTGCTCAGACGGCCTCCGTCCTGACTAAACTGGCTGAAGTGAAGGACCTTCAGGACAGTCTGAGGACTAAAGAGGCAGAACTCACCGCGGTGGAGTCTGAGCTCAGCAGCCTCAAGGGAACAGTTGAGAAGTGAGCCTCTGTGTCCAATATATAACCTCTCAAAATCCTCACTGACCAATCAGAATAAAAGTACAAAGCAGAAGACTGAAATGTTGCTCTCTTTCAGATATCGTCAGCTTAAGCAGCAGTTGGACCTGAAGACTGAGGAGGCTCGGATCCTGGAGACCAAACTCCAGCAGAGCTCCTTCCACAAGCAACAAGAGGAGCTGGAAAACCTGCGCAAGACCATCGGTACACACAAATACCCCTCTTTGCCGAAATGGCGTTAGTTCTCTTTCTGAAACCGGTGCTCTGTATAAAAGGCGCAATAAACACACAACTCCACAGTATGGGCGATTGTTGGTTTTACAGCTCTTTAAATGTCATGGTGTTCTGTTTCTTTAGAAGAGTGTGAGGAAACGCTACTGAAGACAAAGGAGGTTCAGAAGAAGGCTGAAGAGAAATACAAAGTTCTGGAGAACAAGATGAAAAACGCAGAGGCCGAGAGAGAGAAAGAACTGAAAGCAGCCCAGCAGAAACTCAACCAGGCCAAAAGCAAAGCAGACGCCTACAACAAGAGACTGAAAGAGAAGCAGCAGGTATTTTCAGTTTACTATGAAACCTATCAGGCTCCAGACTGAACAAAGTTACACCCTGTCTACACTGGACGCTTGTTTGAAACCACCTCTCTGTTTCTATCTCTAGGAGGCAGAAGCAGTAGCTCTGGAGTTGGAGGAGCTGAAGAGAGAACAGGCTGGATATGAGCAGCAGATTCAGGCTGTGGATGAAGCTCTCAAAGCCATACAGGAGCAGATCGACACCATGACCACTGAGGTTTTGGCCAATAAGGTACAGAAACAACCTCTTTAAGAATTGCCTAGATATTTTTGGGTGGACGGTTCCTTAAAAATGATCATTCTGTTATCATTTATTCACTTTCCTGTCATTCCAAACCTTTATGACTTTCGTGGAACACAAAAGAAGATATTTTGAAGAATGTTGATAAATTTGTTCCCATTAACAAAAAATACAATGGAAGTCAGTCGGAACCTGAACTGTTTGGGTACACACCATTCTTTAAAATATCTTCTTTTATAACATGGCATTTTTGGGTGGACTGTCCCTTTAAATGTGATGCTTTAAATGTATGTGCCGTAAATGTTAACAGTCACACTGTGTGTGTTTAGGAGGCAGTGCGTGCTGCGCAGGAGCAGCTGTCCCAGCAGAAGGAAGTGATTCTGGGACAGGAGAGAGAGATTAAAGGAAAGACCGGAGAAGCAAATCGTCTCCGAGAGCAAAACAATGACGCTCAGCTCAAAATCAAAGAGCTGGAACACAACATCAGCAAACACAAGAAAGACAGCGCTGATGCCACAGCCAAGGTCAGAAGAAGTTAATGACACCATTAGAGACTAGCCTGTTGTAGATTAGAGTGGATCTAATGTTTTTCGTGTGTTCAGGTGGCCCGCATGTTAGCTGAAAATGAGTGGATCTCCTCGGAAAAGCATCTCTTTGGCCAGCCTAACACTGCCTACGACTTTAAAACCAACAATCCCAAAGAGGCTGGACAGAGGCTGAAGAGACTCGAGGAGACGAAAGACAAGCTGGAGAGAAACGTCAACCGCAGGGCCATGAACATGCTCAGTGAGGCCGAGGAGAGGGTATGACCTTTGACCTCTTAAGTGACAGTGCCATAAAAGATGTAAATCCAAAAATGCGTCCAACATGAGAGCAAAAGAGCAGAGGTTAATCTAGAAGAACTTGAGATCATGTCTGGGTCATATTTCACTCCAGAATTAAAAGAAAGAATCAAATTATATTTTAACTTTTTTTAGTTAAAGGTCCTAAAAAGGCCTTTTTTTTTTTCTTGTTTTATTATTGCTGTCTTCTTAAGTATATGCTATATCTTGTATATACACTACCTTTCAAAACATTTTTGGTTGGCAAGATTAAAAAAAAAATTTAAGTCTCTTATGCTCACCAGGGCTGCATTTATTTGATCAGAAATACAGTAATAGTGTGAAATATTACTACAATTTACAACAACTGCTTTCTGTTTTAAAGTATTGTAATGTCTTTTAAAATCATTTTCAGCATCATTACTCCAGTTTTCAGAGTCACATGACCCTTCAGAAATCATTCTGATTTGCTGACAAAAATAATTATTTCTTGAGCACCAAATTAATGTTGAAAATACTAGCTAATATTTACTCCGTATTTTTGTGGAAACTAATGTTTTTCCAGGATTCTCTGTTTAATAGAAAGGTCAAAAGTACAACATTTATATTAAATAGGAATCTTTTGTAGTATTATAAATGCCTTTACTGTAACTTCAATCAGTCCCAGCTTTGATATTATTTTATTAGTAGAATTTTATTTATTGTTTGTTTGTTTGTTTGTTTGTTAATAATAATATCGATTCTTATTTACATTTTTTATTATTATTTGTAAAAGGTAATAACACTGTCTGCCTTCTTTCAGTACAATGATCTGAAGAAGAAAAAGAGAATAGTTGAAAATGATAAAGCCAAAATCCTGGAAACAATTGAAGAGTTGGACCAGAAAAAGAATGAGGCTCTCAATGTGGCGTGGCAGAAGGTAAAATACCCACCCATGACCCATATTACAACTAGTAAGAAAAGATCAAACCGACATGATGCATCTAATTCAGTACAACGTGTGTGATTGCAGGTGAATAAGGATTTTGGCTCTATATTCTCCACCTTGTTGCCTGGGGCAAATGCCCGTTTGGCTCCACCTGAGGGCTGCGGTGTCCTGGACGGGTTGGAGTTTAAAGTGGCTCTAGGGAAAACGTGGAAAGAGAACCTGACAGAGCTCAGCGGTGGTCAAAGGTCAGCTTTTGCCAACTCTTGCTAAAAGTGGCATATCGCTTGTTCTTAAAATCAGTAACAATTTTGGTTACGGCTCTCCAGGTCAACATTTTCTTTGCCACAGATCCATTAGAGCATAAGATCGTGGACTGAGCCGGTTACTGCATATTTCCCAGTACATGTGCTGCCCATTGATCATCTGATGCGTTTATGCGTGTTTCAGGTCTCTGGTGGCACTCTCTCTGATTTTAGCCATGTTGCTGTTCAAACCCGCTCCCATTTACATCCTGGATGAAGTGGATGCTGCTCTTGATCTCTCACACACGCAAAACATCGGACAGATGCTGAGGACACACTTTACACACTCACAGGTAATGCACATACTCACAAAATATCAAAATGAGCAACACATGAATTTTTCAGTGCATCAGTAACAGAACAGCTTTAGCATGACTGTGTTTGACCCCAACAGAAACTGAAGTTTATTTTTTTGTATTCTTTGCAGTTTGTGGTGGTGTCTCTGAAAGATGGAATGTTCACCAATGCAAATGTGCTCTTCAAGACCAAATTTGTGGATGGAATCTCCATGGTCACTCGCACGGCACAAACACATGAGGGAAAAGCTTTGGCCCAGCGCACCAAGGAGAAAGCCAGGGACAAACGCCAGCGACAGATACTGGCCAGCTAAATGCTTGCTGTCTGCACAAATTTTTCAAGCCAGATGTATTAAGCTTTTATTACTTTCATTTGAGAAAATGAAATGGTATATTTAAAAATGTTAGTACTAAAAGCTTTCTGGACACACTAGATTTGTGCGTCTAATGCATGTAAAAAATGTCTCTGTAAATCACCTTTCCATTGCCAAACGCTGTTGTATTCACACACATTTTCTCCACATTATGGAGTGCAGTTGCTATGCTACTTTTTAATCCTGTTCATCTCTGTTTTCTCTCTCTCTGTATGCTTTATTTCAGTATATTTGTTTGTAGGTTGACTTTTTGTCTTCTCAAACTTTGCAAGCTAGTTTTGTATAAATAAAATGTCAAAAAAAGGTAGTGGTGTCAAAAATTGTCAAGATGACAACAGAGTGGAAAAATGCTGTTTTAATATTAAGATTAATCTTTCACAGTAAGGTAAATGATTTTCATAAAATAGATTGGGTGAATGTTCACTTCATTTTGATTAACAAAGCCGCTCTAAAAAATGTGCACTACTTTATTCTTCATTTAAGGGCCCAAACGGTGAGATGAGACCCAGTATAACACGCCTCTTTACAAAGATTTCATTACAGAAAATATATTTTCACACATGCAAACATGGACAAACGCAGATTTGAGGTTTCAATTCCATTTATGTTACAAACTTCCCTTTAATTCATGTTTAATACCTTTACACCAATCCTCATTTAAAAACATTCCACTTTATTCAAAGTATGGACAGATCCCTGTCCCTTTTGCTTGACTTTGTGATGCCTCCTTTTCTAACAGCACTGAATGAATGAAAGCAAAAGGTTGACTATGTGGACAGTTCTCAATCAGTATCTTCACTCGTGAATTTTTTTAACATAGAATGTAATTTAGTGTATATGTACAAGGGCTGTTCTGGCCCTGATCAGTCTCTTGCCAAACAAGTAGTTTCATGTGTGTAACTCCAGAAAGCCTTCTGCTTCACAATCTCCATGATTACCAGTATCTTGAGCAAAAAAACCAAACCAAGATGAAAGGAGTCACACTTGCACATACTGAGACTTTAACAAGGTTAAAATGGTTGGTGAAAATGTCTAAGCAAAACATGATGAGGCTCCTTGTACCCAAATGTAGTCTTTGCACATTAGTTATAGCATCAGGTAAAAGCATTTACACATGGAAAAAAAGGTCTATGGCCTACACTGAGTTGTTTTGAGTGCAGAGATAATGGCATAATATGTGTGTATGTGACATGGCTGTGAGGATTATTACTGAAACATACGGTGGAGATTCTCAAATCAACCCTCAGGACAGTGTGTGCGTGTGTGTTTGGGCAGGTTATTCATGGCAGGGCTTGTATTTTTCTTCTCATTGTCTGGGCTTTGTCCTTCAGGTCTGGACGGCTGTCTGTTTCCATTGTAGCTAAAGAACGCTGAAGCTGCTGCCGACTCCTCTCAGAGAGACACTCCCACTGATCGCTCTCTACAAACATAAAACAGCATCAGTCTTTATAGTGAGAAGCTTTCCATCCAACTTTCATACCTGCAAACTCGTCATCTTTTGGTTATTACATTTTATAAAACTTTTTTTGTCAACATATTATTCGAACTGCAAAGTTGTTTAAATCATAGTTCTTTTTCGCATTTTACAGTTTAAGATGTTACTATGAACACTGCTGTTGTTTGAAATGTTGCTACCTGAACATTATGTAGTTCTATTCCAATATCAGAATTTTCCAAGATGAAAAATTCCACCATTCTACTAGTATTTGTTTGCAGGTATGCACTGTAAAAAGTGTCCTCAACATTTCAGATAAATAATTTTTAACTTTTAAAAGGAACTAATGAGTTGGCATGTTGTCAATCACTACAAAATCATTTATATTTGTACATGGAACATTTGAAACAGTTCTGTAATCAGCTATTTTTATGAAAGTCAGAGCAAATCAATGCTACCTTCAATCCTCTTCAACAGAAGTTCGACTACCGCCAAGGCGTCTGTTCTTACTGAAGAATAGCTTTTGTTTTCTGTAGGAGAAAAAGAATGATACTCATAAGCTAAGTCTGAATGAAAGGTGATCATTAAAAAGGTCACCCCAAAATGAATTTTCATTGCATTTTTCAGTGGAAAATAAAGGATACTGCAAGAAATGTTATTTTTGTGTCATTTTTTTAGTGTGTTCCACAGAAGAAAGTTAGTCATACTGGTTTAGAACATCTTGAGGGCGAGTTTTGGGAGACAAATGCCTTTAATGTTTAGAAATTCATGAGAAACTCCACCTAATGGTGTTGCCAGAGCAGTGCAGGTTTCAGACAACATCTCAGTCAGAACAGCAGCGTTCTGATGATCCTTATCCAGCAGCAACAATCTAAAACGTACACACACAAAACACCATACAGTCATTATGGCATTCAAAATCTTTTTAATGCATTTCACCAACAATTTTACCACTTCACTCTTTTTTTTTTTTGGCTTGTAAGCACTGTTGTTTCCACAAAGAAATTCAAATACGGTTTAAAAACACTGTTTCCATTTAGAACACTACATATTTCACACAGACAAGGCATTTGTTACAGAACCTTCAAGATTTTTTAGCATACTATACCCCTGATAGAAGACCTTCAATGCACGCAGGACTCCCAGTTGCACTCTCCACGTGCTCAACTTCAGTCTATCACACATTAGGCTACAAACCTCATTCTGGAACTGATCTACAACACAAAACACACTCATTATACATCACTCTGCCCCTGTGTGTGTGTGTGTGTGTGTGTGAGTGTGTGTGTGTGTGTGTGTCTGTCTGTCTGTCTGTCTGTGACTTGTAACTGAGATTTACTCTGTGTCTGAATGGTTTTAGGCCAGGTCTTTCCAAGTGTCTCAAATGCACACAGCAGAACTTCTGTCTGTAATTCACGAGCTTTAGCTTCATCGTCGTCGTCATCATCATCATGTTTTGGGGAGCTGGCACTTGCTGGCTGATTCTAAATTAAAAAAAATAAAAAATAATAATAAATACTGAATCATTAAAACTAGGGATGCACCGATACCACTTTTTCCAGTACTCGCCCGATACCGATACTTTTATTTTTGGTACTTGCCGATACTGAGTACCGAGTACCGATACCATTATTTTTATTGCATTTGTACATTTTTTTAATATTGGGTACAGAAACCAAAAG